TATATCAAAATCAGATTTTCTTACTGGAAATGGATAATAAAAGACTATTTACAACATAGCTAACACGTGGACCGAACATGACATTGGTAATAACCAATCATTTTCACTCCAATTTTACAAACTTCTCAACTAAGGTGAGCTAAAAATAGTAATAAAGCACCGTAATTACGTTCTAATAAGGTAAAAACAGAGGAATGAATTTTTCGAAAATACAATATCAAATCCCGTGAAAATTATTACAATGAAATATAATGAAACAAAAATAAAACAAGAAATTTAAAAAAAAAAACACAAATAATGTAATATACGTAACATGATGTTAAGTTATGGCTGGCCTCTTGCTCATGTAAACTTACTCAACATTTTTATTTGCCAAAAAAATGTTTTTTGATTTTCTAATTTTTTTATAACAGGTTTTAAGCAGAACGGTTGAATGATTATCTGAACAGTTTATGAACTCACTAAAATTTACAAATGTTGTATACTTGAGATTTCTCTGTCCTGTAACTTTTCTCTTGCCTGTAAAGAACATGCATAAGAAAAGATTGAGTTTTAGAAAAAATATAATTAATTTTTTACCTTCCTTAATAAAGGAAGCCCCCCAAAATGTTTTAAAAAAGTATACATCTGAATATTGTTGCTGTTGTAGGGTTTAACGCCATTTTCAGCACAAGATAGGTTATATATGGTGGCCAGTATATATGATGGAGGAATAACTTAGGGAAACCCTCGAAACAACCACCAACCCACGATAAGGCAAGCTTTTTTCACATACCCACATTGATCAAACCAGAGACTAGAACCCAAGCAGACAGAGGTGAGATAACAATGATACGTAACGGTGAGCGCTTTAGACAACTCAGCCGCATGAGGCCCTGTATCAGAATGTAATATTAGTAATGTGGAACGGAAAGAAAAATAAAGTATTTGAAGTTGATTAAAAAAAGGAATCTTAACATTTGACAAAAATTTTATAATGAGCATAGTAGCTTAATCTCTGGAGTATATTTTACTGAAGAAATCCACCAGCAGCATCCAGTACAATTAATTTCTGTTAACAGGAACTCCATAAATAATGTGTCAATAGATTTTCAAAACAGTGAAGGAAACTCCAGTAGCATATTCCATAAAATGAGCCTGCCACTTTTCCCCACCCATATAATGTTATTAAGTATTTGGCATAATTTAATGTCTGCGTTAAAAATGGAAATGTAAAAAGAATTTTATCAACTATGTGAGATATTTATATGCCATTACCCTTTGTAACCTGTACAAATAACGTAGCCATTGTGAGTTGCATTTCAGGCAATGTATCTTGTCAACTCCTTAGTGTGTACAAACTGAGCATTTTTGTCAAATATAATAATTTTAGTGGTCTCTTTTTACCAGATTTTTTTACCATACTTTAGAAAATGAAATCCATGTATTCTACAACTATTTCCTAGTTCATAAAAATCATGATCAAATTATTTTTATTGACCTGATTCTGCCATATGTACTCACTCGTAAGTTAAGTCTAATTGCAAACTGCACAGACTCGGATCAGCTGTCATCTGTACATTTCTGTAAAGAATTAAAACGTCTCGGGTATCCATTTTATAATATAAATAACACAAAATAGTCAACCAAGTAATAATTACAGGTATTAAACAGGAATTTACAAACTAACTCATTTCATACAGAGTAGTATCAACGACATTTGAATTCACACTATGATGCACACAAGTTCTCAGGGGTCAAAAAGCTTTGTATTTCTGGTCGTACCAAAAGCACAATACAAACAGAATCCTACAAAAGAACTTCCACTCTACTGTCTACACTGAATTGACAGGCATTTAAGAAAAGACCATTTCTTGTTCTTAATTACCATTGTTGAAGCCATTTCCGATATTCTTGAGCAATTAAGATTTTCAAATTAGCCACTGAGGCAACCAACCTGAATACAAGATAGGCACCATCTTAAGATAAAAATCCCATGTCGTTATGACCATTAATTGAAGAGAGAGACCATATTTTCAATATGTTCACCATAGCAGCCATATCTGAAGGCATATCAGCACTATTTTTTTTTATTGATGAACAACTAGATGTCATGACTAGTCTTTTCAGCCATATTAGGCATCAGATTGGTACTAGACAGCATGCAAATCCTTTAGCAAAACTCCCATGTTGATATGACGACCAAAGATTTTCAGGATGGCTTCTGTCATGTTCATAATGACCATAATGAATGTCCAAGTGGGACCATTCTCTGTTAAAGCCAAAAAGAAATAACATACCTTCCAGTGAAAACTCCATGTCAATATTACTTTCTGTTCTGTGGCATTAGCGATAACAAGGTTTACAAAATGGTTGCGGTGGCGCTTTAAAGTTTCGTATTTAGCATGTTAGAATTTTAAAGAAAAAGATTTTCCCCAGGTTTCCTCACTAGTTATACTGGCTATTTAAAAGAGACTTTGTATATCTTAGGTATTGTTCAAAGAACCTTTAATTTCCTTTACTTTGATGTATGATTGATGGGTGTAATATGGGTTAGAGTATACAGCTTGGCCTTACTCCAGATGTGCATCTTTCAAAACAGTGCTAGCTCTACTTGCTCATTTTCTCATCTCGAAATTCAGAGATAAATTGTAAAAAAAGAGCCGATAACTTTTTTTTACATTTTATGTATTTGGTAATTCAGTCATTGCACTTTTAGAAGCTGGTATAATCTAGTTTGGCAAAGTTAATTTTCCATATTTTAATAGCTGCCAAGAAATAGTGTACTTTAGACAAATTTAGGTTGATTGTTGGTTGTTGTGGGGTTTAACGCCATTTTTCAGCACAAGATAGGCTATACATGGCGGCCAGTATTAATGGTGGCGGAAGAAACCGGGAAATCACTGGAAAGAACCACCAACCCACGAGAAGCTACTGGCAAGCTTTCTCACATATCCACATTTGCCGAATCCTAGACTCGAACCTACGCAGACAGAGGTGAGATGGCAGTGATCCGTAACGGACAGCGCTTTAGACCACTCGGCCACTCGAGGCCCCCAAATTTAGGTTGATATTTGGAGCCCAAGGGAGCAGTCCTTTTAGTTAGCAGTGTCCTAAGATCATTTAAAATTTCCAAAAGTACAATATCCAAAGAAATTTCATCCACATTACATGAAAGTAGTATATAGGTATGCCAACATTCTCTCCACTGTGCATGTTTAAAATGCAAACAACTTCACCTTACATACATTACTCTCTCAAAAGTACATAACTGGTGAGCGCCATCTACCTTGGCAATCATATGAAGGTTAGATAATCACCCTTTTCATAAAGTATCAACTGGGCATCATTTTTTAATGAGAACCTCATAATGATGTAACCGTCCATCCTTGGGTAGTAGGAATCCAATTTTCAATAAGGCTGCTTTAGTGGCTATATTGGATGTCTATGTAGCACCATTTTCATTAAAGACAAACTAAGCTTTGGGATAAATGTAAAGATTTATAGCAGTCTTCCGTGTAGTTTACAAAAAGAGCAATATAATAGACTTGTGCTAATTCAGACATCAGGCATTGGCCACTGGATAGATGACAATGGCTGAGAGAAAAGTGGCCATCGCATAAGTTATTCTGTTCTGTGGACAGATACAAGTTTCATCTCCGAGATTCTGAAGGTGAAGAGGTGGAAATGGGGTTAGGGAGACTGAAGTTACAACGAAGTGTGAGAAACCTACATTCAAGCAACATGTTGGGAAATCACTTAATGAATTTGAAAACTAGCATTACCGGAAAAAATGCAGTTACAAATGTTTCAAAAGCCTTCAATATAATACCAATGGCACAATGGTGTGGTGCTAAACTATCTTACAACCTTTTTGCTTTTGATAACCACAGGGGTCACAATGGATAATAATCAGTTATATTTAATTTTTCACCCACCAATTCGTTTACACTCCTACATCTGCACAGTATATACCAAAACCAACAAAAGAATTGTAAGCAACATTTTATGCACTTTTACCTTCTAACCTTGCTAAGGAGCCTCTAAGTCACAGAACTTCCAAAAACATGCTGCAAATTTAGACTTTATGGTAACTTATCAGCAAAGTTTTACTGATTTCATGAACAGTCAACAAGTTTCAGTGTTGACTACATGACGTCATATTTATACGAGGAGACACTGAAGAATAAACAAAGAATACTAGTCTCAAGCTATCTTTCCCAGTGAAATAAAAACAAATTCAAAATGCGATAAAAAAAATTATACCACAATACTTTTAATAATATAAATATAGTATGGGTCATACAGCAGTTTGCAATTTACTCCAAACAATGTCGGACACAATCATAATATCATAATGGAAGCTTGTGGAAAAAGATGGAGAAAGAGAAAATTTTTAAATATATTCACCTTTGCAATCAATAACACACAAAGATCTTAAATATGAAGATATGCAAACTTCATGATCTTTTCGCCTCAGCATATCTTCTGACCTTGCCACAAATGGAACGAAGAGTCTACCCTGTAGGAAAAACATAAAATATACATTATCGAATCTGAGTAAATGTACATATAGATTAAAATCATCTCAATACATGCCAATCTGATCCTTACAAGAATGCAAGTTTTTAAATAAATAGGGTCCTTATATTTACTTGAGTCAAATTAATGTGTCTTTAAAGCTCTTACTTAATGCAGGATCTATTCTAAAAGAAAACATTTAACGATGAAATTCCCAATCCATGTGAAAACAAGTGAGTAGTTTTCTAATTACAAACAGTGTGTGTGATTGGGATTTTTAACAATGCTTTAACAATTTTTCAGTCATATCATTACAATTTCTGCAGTGTGGCAGTTTTATAGTGATGTCTAACACTAGGGCATCATGCCACAGACATGTGGCATGATGTCCCACCTAGTCACATTATCCTGACACCATGCTGACCAGTCCCAACACTAACCTCTAAATGCTCAGTGCCAAGCGAGGCAGCTGTAGGTACCATTTTTGTAAGTCTTTGGTATGACTCGGCCAGGGATTGAATCCACGACCTCCTGCATCCAAAGCAGATGCTCTAACTACTAGGCCACCAGAGTGGTCTACAGAAAATATTTCCTGAAAAATATATGTAGGACTTGCACACATAATGCATGACTTCATTGCATTTGGTTTCTGTGAAATTGAAAATTAGTGTAATCTCACATTTGTGTGCCTTACAAGAGGCCTTATTTCAAGGGGCTATGTCTATTTTATCACCCAAATTTTGACAAACAAAGTTCTTGTAAATCACTGTGGTAAACTCATCCAAAGTTCTCTCTGATAATGTATTTATAGTTTGATTATTATTACATTCTCATTCAAAATAAAACATTTCCACACTTCAGATACTGTGGAATAGAAATAAGTGTGCATACACATTCACTAGCTCAAGCATTTTTTGTAAAATTGTTGAACAGGTGCTTGCTAAATTGTATATTATTTTCTATTCGCAAGCCTACCATATTTTCAGGATATAAGCAGTGTAATTACTAGACTTGTCATTCCCTATCCTCAATCAAGTAGTACTCCTGGTAGCGATATTAGATGACGAAAGCCAGTCCCTGTTGTCATAAATATTAATTTTAATTCAGTTATTTCATAGGTGCTGCATTTATATTAGCCCAGCAGTTGTTATCAACTTAAAAAACTTAAGTATTTATTATAAAGACGTGAGACATCCTGTCAGTCTTTAGTTTTAAAGTGCTATAAAATATAAAGTAAACTAGATCAAAGAGAAGCTTACCACATTTAGTGATAAAAACATTCATTTTCGTAAGTTAGTGGACTTGACTAATTGTCAGGACAAGATAAGAACTGCTACAGATGTTGCTTTTAGTGCCATATTTGAATCAATGCTGATGTTTAAGTGTGGAAAAAAGAAGCAATGGTGAAACTTGGGGGTAAACACAAAAAATGTGTAAAATTCTGAGACACACTGATCTTTAAAAATGAGCCAGGTTTAAAAATACAAACATTTAGCAAATTAATTTATCTGAAACTATTCTTGAAGGATGAAATTCAATTACACTCCTTGTGGATGAATAAAAAAAAAAGCAGTTCATGTATAATCGATATTCAGTTTGAATTAGTTTAGAAATCCAGTCTAATATTGAGCTACATTTTATATTGAACAACAACTATAGCAATAATAATAAATATCTGGAAATAGAAAACATTATATTAAACAGTTTACAAATAATGTCAAAGCAGATACAAAAGGTACATACATGTATATGAAGTCCATATATGGTGTTAGTAACTTAGCTTTCTTCATCATGTGATTATATTTTGTAACCAATCAAATTGCTTTTTAGAAATATTTGGTAAAAAAATTATTTTAAATTGCATTCCATATGATTTGTAATATTTTCAGTAATATGCAAATTTCTGACAATCTATACATTATAAAATATCAAGTGATGAAATAGGATTCAACAAAACCTATACAGTACTGAAAGAATACAAATTCTGTCAAAAAAGTTGCAAGAAAGGCGGCCTACATAGAGAACTGTCAGGCCATCAAATAGCATCATTAACAAAAAAGTAGTCTAGTCATTCCTGAATGGTTGTCCAATGAAAAAAACAACAGTATTTCAAGTTACTCCTTCCTTGGCAAAATGTCATCTGACAATAAGTAACTCAAGCAGATCAGCCAATGAGGATGGGATGGAGGTCAATGCTGTATTCCTTACTGTGACCCAAACCCCATAAACACCAAACTAGGGTGGTTGATCATATTTTGCATGGCACTTCAATTCCTGAATGCAGTGCCTGTAATAGTTTTAAGGGCTGGGGGAGTGGGTGTGTTAATAATAAGGGCTGGGGGAGAGGGTGTGTTAATAATAAGGGCTGGGGGAGAGGGTGTGTTAAGATAAGTAATGATTATTGTGTGGATAGCTTGTATCTTACATAATCATTAACATGATTCTGCAATATGATGTCAGTTTACCTTCCATATTTGGGGAGTATGAAACAGTCTGATGGACCTCGTTACAACACATCTGACAATAATAAGCAATTGTGCTGCAATCGAGACATCAGATTATTTCCTGTTCCTATCTGCAACACTTGCTGCATCTGTGTGTAGCTGGTGACATTTCGTCAACCCTTGCATCTACAAGGTCTGATCTTAGAGCAGACCAAGCTTCAGCCAGCTTTTGTCTTCGGCTCTGGTATCTTGTCAGGGGTTCTCTACCTTAAAATAAAAAACCCCAGTAATTTCTCAGACTGCTTTTGTAAGATCAGTTATCATGCTGCATCTCAAAATTAAGTGTTCATGACATTATAATGTTACTGTTAGATCACTCTTTACAAAGGTGTATTAGAGCATTATGAACTCTGCATGAGATAAGATGCAAAATGACAAACATATCTTTGAGTTCTTTCTCTTTAAAAATATTGAAAAATTAAGTTTGTAATAACATTTACTAATTGTAACATTTACTAATTGTAATAATAGTGTGAAAGAAAATCAAGTAAACAAAACTAAGTTTGAAATCTTAAACATTTATAACCTAAATTAATATAACCTCAATAACCAAGTCAAAATGGGAAAAATCACAAACATCCTCTTTTTATTACGAATTAAGTTATTGACGATATTCAAATGTACAAATTTTTAGAATTGCTTAATCCTCATTCAGCCATTATGTTCTCAGCATTTTGGGGAAGGTTACTTTTCCCCTTGTGTTTCTAGGGAAGAAATTTTGGGGATATATAAGCAAGCAAGTGTTAGTTGTTGTAGGGTTTAACGCCATTTTTCAGCACAAGATAGGCTATGCATAGCGACCAGTATTAATGGTGAAGGAAGAACACTGGAAAACACTGGGAAGAACCACTGATCCTTGAATAGCAATTGGCAGGCTTTCTCACTTACCCATGTTATACAAGTCTGGATTCGAACTTACGCAGGCAAGTGTTAGTAATGCAAAGAAATGCAAATCAACTAATGCATTTTTAGGTCAGTTTGGATTGCTTAGGAACTAACTATGCAGTGTGTATGCATAGTTTATATAATCAAAACCTGCTATCACAAACATTTTTAAATGCATTCAAATTTATTTACTGACAATAACTTTTTAGTTTATGACTAATTCTACCTGCTAAAAAGCACAGTTCCTGCTTCATGATACAATCAATTCAAACAGTGCTTACAGGACAAGAATTGTTGTTGTTGTTGTTGTTGGGCTTAACGCCATTTTTCAGCACATGATAGGCTATTCATGGCAGCCAGAATTAATGGTGGAGTAAGAAACCGGGAAAGAACCGGAAAGAACCACTGACCCACGAGAAGCTACTGGCAAGCTTTCTCACATATCCACATTCGCAGAATCCTAGACTTGAACACACGCAGAAAGAGGTGAGATGGCAGTGATCCATAACAGACAGCGCTTTAGACCACTCGGCCACTCGGGGACCCTAAGAATTGCTGTAGACATGTTTAAAATTAGAGTACACATATATGATTATACACCAACTCAAAATCACTATAATCATATGTACCATGAATTAGTCTGAAACACTATACTGTTTTCAGTCTCAGATGCATATGGCTGATCAAGCTTCATTCTGGTAGGTATTCTCAAAACACCTTGCATGTTAAAAAAATTCAATTAATTGCAAACATGGGAGTACACAAGATATTTCACATTATTATCTATAGCCCTGCATGGATCTTAGGCACAATATAAATAATCTTTTAATATGCAAGATACTCAAACAGTTTAGAAGCAATCATCCTTGTAAGTTTTGATGGGAAAATACTTGTCTAAGTTTGTCACTAGCATTTGCATAGGGACCTTGTACAAATTTAGGTAGTTAGAATTTCAAACTGTTTCATATCACTTTATCTAAAAAAAATCTTTGACAATATTGAAAAAGCTAAGCTAACTGACTTGCATACAATCTGAGTTTGTTGATGGTTTTATCTATGTTCAATACACTCAACCGTTTTTTTTCCTGCCACTAACTTTTATATGCATTATCTGTTTTTCAATATATGTCTGTTCTTCATTTCTTTTTGTTGGACTTAAATATTGATAAAAAGTTTATCATAATACAGCAGTACAGCACAAACAGTGGTTTTATGCTAAGAAAGTTTCTCACTGGATTGTAAACTTCCGGAAGGTAACTGTTTGCCTAGGTCTGCACACTGTCATATATGACTTGGATTATGGTAAAATATAGAAATCTCTGTGGACCTCACTTTTATTACAGTTCACTACATTACTTGTACACTGTCATCACACAAGTTCAAACATGATTTAGTGTTACTTTCTGCTAAACATTATCACATATTGTCTTAAAAAACTCTTGTATATCTAAATTATGTCAACATACACTAAACAGCATTAACCATTAAGACCTTATCTACATTTTATAGTTATTTTTCAAGATCCATAAATAAAATTTTTGTAAATAAACAAAACTATATGCATAAGAAATTACTCTATCACCTGCATCATCATGAGAAGATTGTAATGATGATGCTGGGGAACTTGGAATGCTCTCAGATTCATTGGCAGTAGAGTGAAATCCACTGGAATAAACAGGTGTGGGCACAGATGAACTCCTCAGCACTGAAAATCTTACATATTCTCTCCTTCTTGATCCAGAATACACAATCTTCTTCACTTTTGGAAACTTTTTTAAGAATCGCCCCATTTTCTGCAAAGCAAACAATTCCAAGAATTGATAATAATAGCTGCTACTTGTAAGCTTTTGGTAAAATCATGCACTGTTTTTCTTCCCATATTAAAAGACTGTCAGATTCAATACAGTGAAATTCCATCTTTTCCAGTCATCTTAAGAGCTTTTATATTTAACAGCAATATGTGCTGCCTGTATCCTGTGTTTTGCATAGGATAACCATCACATTTTAAATCAATGACATCTAACCTATAGTTTTGCAACATAATATTTTCGGTATGCCAGTACTAAATGGGAAAATCCTTTGTTTTATAAATTGTAAGGATTATTTCCGATTACTTTGGTTTAAACATTGTATAATTTAAAAATTTATTTCACAAAGGGGTAGAGATGGGTGAAAAAAAATCTACTTA